CTCCACCACTCATCCCAAGAAAATGTGAATCCCAGGGGAAGTTGATGGAATGAGAAACTATGGATAATGTAAGAAACGGGCCAGAAATGAATGAGACAGAAATACTAGGATGCCAAGTCCCAAATTACTAATGGGGCTTCTGGGATGCCAGAAATAAGATTCTCAAAATCAGAATAAATGAAGGCTGCTTAAGCTCTGATTCAGGGAGATTCCTCAGGATGACAAGAAACTTATATACGAACTAGAAGAAAGCTGGCCTCTGTACCTATCTTGGGATACTTGCTCAGAATTTGTGAGGAACTAAAGAGAATACCATTTCTATTGTTCTTGCTATGTTATCAAACCACTTTAAAACTTAGTGGCATAAAACAACAATCTTATTGTCCTCATGGTTTCTTATAGATCACAAATGTGGACAAAGCACAGCAGAGGTGGCTTGTTTACCTTCTCTGATGTCTGGGCCTCAGCTGGGAAGGCTTGAAGACTGGGAATGACTTGATGGCTAGGGTTGCAGTCATCTGGAGGTCTCTTTGCAGTTGATGCTGGCTGTGGCAGGGACTTCAGTTAGGCTGTCAGCTGGAAAAAAATACAGTGGCCTCTCCATGTAGTATCTCTGTATGAGCTAGTTTGGTCTTCATCACAGCTTGATAGCAGTGAAACTTTATCAGTTTTTATCAACCCACCTAAGTCACATCTAAGTGAAGTCACACAGCATCACTTCTTCCAAAGTCACAAGCCCACCCAGATTCTAGGGAAGAGAATTTAGATTCCACTTCTTTATGAAAACAGAACAGAAGTCATATTGTTTAAAAAAAAAAAGGCATGTGGAGTGGGAATTACTCTTTTGATCGTCTCTGAAAAATATAATCTGTCTTAGATGAATGGTCCTATTGAATTTCTCTTTTGCTTGAACCTTGGGAAATTCTTCGAGTCCCTCGAAACCTGGGACTCAAAAGCCAAATGAGTAAGGTATTGGGAGACCAATAGGACAGCATTTCTGTAAAAGTTCCATTGGGAAAAGTTGGCTGGACAGTATGTAATCACCAGGAATATTAAAAATCTCACAAAACAGAGAGTTAAATAATAGAAACAAAACAATTTTGGAAAAACCAAAAACAATGGAAGCAGACCCTGCTTGGAGGAGCAATGCTGGCAGAATGAACAATGGAGAGAAATGGCAGATCAATAAAGCGACAAAAGAAAAAAAATAATTTCTGTGAAATATAAATAAACCTTGGGTAAAATTAACCAATCTTAACTTTGAAGCTGGCAGAAAACTTTTTTCAGTTAGGGAGGCCATTAACTGAGAGAAATTATTTGTTGTCAATGTGTATTAACACTAAGCATTCTGTCATATTTGAAAGTGACAGCTCAAATGGGGATTAGACATGGCCCTTCCTTCCTTCCTTCCTTCCTTCCTTCCTTCCTTCCTTCCTTCCTTCCTTCCTTCCTTCCTTCTTTCCCTCCCTCCCTCCCTCCCTTCCTCCTCCTCTTCCTCCTCCTCCTTCTTCTTCTCTCTCTCTCTCTCTCTCTCTCTCTCTCTCTCTTTCTTTTTTTTGAGACAGAGTCTCACTCTGTTGCCCAGGCTGCAGTGCAGTGGCTTGATCTCAGCTCATTGTAACCTCTGCCTCCTGGGTTCAAGTTATTCTCCTACCTCAGTCTCCTGAGTAGCTGGGACTACAGGCATACAGCACCATGCCCAGCTAATTTTTTACATTTTTTTAAGTAGAGATAGTTTTCACCATGTTGGCCAGGCTGGTCTCGAACTCCTGACCTCAGGTAATCTGCCCATCTCAGCCTCCCAAAGTGCTGGGATTACCAGTGTGAGCCACCACGCCCAATCCTGACATGGACCATACTTCTAAGAGATGGTGATATCTCAGAACTACACAGTAATTTACTATTATTACATCTTATATATCAGTTCATAGGTATAACACTATTATATCTTATGTATCAGTTCATAGGTATAACACATTACTTATTATGCTAAGCTATTGTTATTTTTTAAATGTTATATCTTTTATTTATTATGTTAAATATTCAGCCTCCTAATTAGTATGCTATCTCTGAATCTAGGTGATACTTTCTGGAGTTTGTCAAACTATTTAGTCATCACTTTGAACATTTTAGCACCAGGTGGCAGCAGGATCTGAGGGCTGAGAAAAAATACTTGGGAGGGAACTAAATACCTAATTAAGAATTTACCTCAGACCTAAGGATGGTCAATACGGAAAAGCAATTGCATTACTTCCTACTCCCCATGGTTAGATCTCTCTCTCTCTCTCTCTCTCTCTCTCTCTCTCTCTCTCTCTCTTTAGTGAGTGATTATTCAAACTGAGCATACATCCTATTCCTCTCTCCACCAAACACTCACATATACCACATATACTCTTACAGACTCAGAGAAGAACCAGCCAGCTAAGTGGATTATGCTGGAAGTTAGCCTCAGAAGAGCAAGAATGAGGGTAGCCTAGCTCATACACAGCCATAGACAAAAAGCAAGATAAACCCAATTGGAATCTGTTAGGAAAATCCAGGACCTAAAGAACAGAGAATAAGTTTAAACACCAATTTCAAAGGACCAGAAGCAGAACCAAAGTTGGGTAGCAGAAAGAGACAAAGAGATGTCAAGCAAGAGCCAGTAAGACTTTTACTTTAACAGTGTTACCTTTAGAGGTCAGTGAGGGCATGTGCCTGGTTATTCTGAGCTGGCCTAGAGACAAAAGAAATTAGACTCAAGCCGTCTTCTTAAATGTATTCAAGTGTTGAACACATCCCCTCTACAAAATTCTCCATTCTATATAGGCTGGCCAAAGAACAGAGGCCTGGGAACCCTTTGCTGGTCTCACCCTGCTCTTGCTGGGTAATACAAACTGGCTGTTTGCAAGCTTGAGGTGACTCCCTGATCAGATGTGTGTGAGTGCTAATCTTGTCTTGCCAGAAGACATGGTAGTGATTTGAGATGGCAATTCCAACTTGCTGTTATTTAAGAAGCAATGCCTTAGTTACTTCAGATTTTGTTTGGCTAGAGCCAGGTACTTAAGCTGTCAACCTGGATAGAGATGCGTATTTTTTAAACACAAATACAAAATCATTTCAAAGTCCATTAAACAGATGTTTTTAGTTGGAGAGTAACTCAAAATTGCCAAGCTACTTTATTTTCTGATGATTCCTTCATCATGATATAGTTCCAAATAGTATTTTTCAATACGTATAATTTTGAAGCATTTTTTAAAGTGGGTGTTAGAGCTTTTAGGCATTTTCAGCCTGTTTTCTGGTTGCTATAAAGGCCCAGGATTCAGCCTTGGAACATGTATCAAATTCTCCAATTAGTTATCATTATTTGAAGAATTCCTAAAAAGTTTTGAATGAAGTCTATCGTAATTTTTCTTTATTCCTGAAGCTATCCACATAGCTGTATATTTCACTGCATGGCTATAAAAATGGATTTTCACGTCATACATCTAAAGAAGAAACAACAGTCTTTGTTCCAAGGAGTATTTCACAAGATTTACAGGGTTAACAGGTGGAAGGATTCAGCACTTTACCTCTAGGAAGAAAAGACCAATGGGATACCTTGGCTGACACCTGTAATTCTGGCACTTTGGGAGGCCAAGGAGGGTCAGATCACTTGAGGTCAGGAGTTCAAAACCAGCCAGATCAACATGGTGAAACTCTGTCTCTACTAAAAATACCAAATATATATATATATATATATATATATATATATATATATATATATATTAGCTTGACGTGGTGGAGGGCGCCTGTAATCCCAGGTACTCGAGAGACTGAGGCAGGAGAATTGCTTGAACCCAGGAGGTGAAGGTTGCAGTGAGCCAAGATTCTGCCACTGCACTCCAATCTGGGCGAAAGAGCGAGAGACTGTCTCAAAACAACAACAAAACAAAACAAAACAAAAAAACAAAAACAAGAAAAAGCCTATTGTGGTCAGTAACAGCCTCTTGAGAAGTGGCTGTGTTTATACTTGGCCTTATGAACCAAGAAGTGGACTGCCTCACGAAGCAGGCATTTGTGGACAACTAGCAACAAGATGGAGTCAAAGTACACCATGGGGAAGGGTTGCTAGGTGCCTAAAGAGGCCTCGAAGGGATAGTACCCTGGTGTGATCTCCATGTTCCAGGGGCTATCCCTCAGGAACCTGATTTAGCAGCATAATGACAAAGAATGAGCTCTCCCTCTCTCCGATCCCCTCCTTCTCTCAGATGAACATCCACTAACAAGCTCTGATGTATAAACTAGGAAGTTCGTCTATTAACTTATAACTAGGGTCTCAGATCTTCTGATAAGTATATAATTTTTATCTATAGGCATATCTACACAGAAAGCCAAATTACTATCAAAAGTCTGCTGCACATAAGCATAGACTCAGAACAAGGGGAGTTAGTGATTCAATTGTTTCATAGTTTTATCTTGGATCTAGCCCCATGTACTTGTCTTAGTAAGGAAGAAGGCAGATTAAGTCTCTCTCATTTCTTTATCTGGACTTGATCTAAAAGCTTTCTAGTTCTGACTTTTATACTTAATTTCACTTGATTTCCATTGTCTTCTGGTACAAATGGAAGCATAACAAGAACTCAGAAGGGTCAGAAAAACCGCCAGAACAGAGAAATGTTTTTCAAGACATATGAGTAAGAAGAAAGAGTACCTTAACTACTTTGCCTGACTTTGGATCTCTAGACACAGATAAATTATACAATAATGTGAAAGAAATACAGATACTGTTAGGAATCCTCTGAGACATTTGGAGACATCATAGAGATGAGAAGAGGTGCTTGAGCCCTAAAAACAAGCAAATGTCCTGATTTTCTAAATAAAGAAATAATCTGAGCCAGAAAAGACAGAAAAGTAAGTCTCAGACAAATCTCTGACATAGTTTAGGTAGATTATTGAGCACAGAAAAGAATGCAGTGATCTCCAGGAAGCAACATGAGTTTACTACAAATGCCTCAGCCATACCATTTGGCCATTTACTGTTTACTTTTCAGACACATTTATTTCTTGGTTTGTCACATTTAATATTGAGATTGTGTTTAAATAATAAAATCAATGGGATGAAATTTTATTTCTTTGCTGTGAATCAGTTAATGTAGCAGCAATATTTATTCATCAGAAGTCTGGGTTAAATCCTTTAGTGAGTCCATTCTGACCGGGTGCCTCATGTGCCACTCTGCTTTCTGTAGCAGAACTGGAAGGCAACGTTTCAGTTCCAGTGAAACTATATTGCCTTTATTTTAAACATCTCTAAATTCCTCTTTCAGAATTTTCTTCTGAAGTTTACTTTTTTTCCCACAAGTAGAAAGTCATTGACCTTTGAAGAATAGATTTTTACCTTTTCCAGAAACAGTCAGTTCTATCAGAAACAAAAAGAGATGAACTTTGATCAGCTAGTCAATTGAATGATGGGGTAGAGGGAAAGAGGAATGCAAAGATTAGGGTATACATATAAACTGAAAGAAAAGAAAAACAATTTAGTTGTGGGTCTTGTAAACTGGCCCTAAAAACAGTCTCTAAAGAGGAATTTTTTAATGGAGAAAAATGTCCTTAATACTTTCCAAATTCTTTTTTTTTTTTTTGAGACTGAGTTTCACCCTTGTTACCCAGGCTGGAGTGCAATGGCGCGATCTTGGTTCACCGCAACCTCCGCCTCCTGGGTTCAGGCAATTCTCCTGCCTCAGCCTCCTGAGTAGCTGGGATTACAGGCACGCGCCACCATGCCCAGCTAATTTTTGTATTTTTAGTAGAGACAGGGTTTCACCATGTTGACCAGGATGGTCTCGATCTCTTCACCTTGTGATCCACCCGCCTCAGCCTCCCAAAGTGCTGGGATTACAGGCTTGAGCCACCACGCCCGGCCTACTTTCCAAATTCTTAAAGATTATCTTGCTTTCAAATGTTTAAACACGTAAGTTTAAAATGATAAGGCAGATTGAACATAGAAATATATACACACTTTTCTATACCTTCTTTCTTCTGATCTGGCAATGTAATCCAAGCCATTATAAGTAACTTTTAGTTACAGAACAGATTTCATTTCATTTCAAATGCATTTTGATATGTATGATTTTTAAAATCAGGATAGCAGATTTTATCTTCTAATGTTCTGATAGGCTACAAATCGTAGCTCCTTTATTTAAACTTAGACAGAATTTTAAAAATACATGGGAACAAAGATTTAGGTAGTTTCAAGTTTATATCTTTTGTTAAATTCTTTTGAAAACAGAATTCAAACTTTAAATGCAAAAATATTGTTGCTGATACATTCACATGATATTTAAGTGTCATGTTATATGTGACTTTAACAGAATTTTAAGTTAGAGATCAGCAGTAATGTCAGAAAGTGACATCTGTAACATTACTTTTCCAATATACCTCATCCATGCAAATTTATCTGGGGACATTTCAAATAATCTTCACCAAAATTAACTAAATAAGAAATAAAAAATGAGAAATATTTTTATATTTATAATTAATCTTTTTCCTGATTTACAAAACTACACATAATTCAACAACATTTTATAAAAGCAAGGGAAGGATTAAAAATAAAGTGAATGTGGGAAAAATTATCCAGGGCTGAAGCAGGAATTCACATTCATGCTTCGAAGTCCTATGTACTTGGCTAAATTTAGCTTAGGCTTTCTAACAGTCGTTGTAAAGAAGGAAACAATCAGTTCCATTATTCACAAGTTTTTTAAAAAAGGCTATTTAGAGGGGTACAACATTTTAGGTTCTTGAAGCCTGGGACTTGAGGAGCTCAATCATCTGCTAGCCAAAAATATTTCCTGGTGGTAAACTGGTTGAAAGCTGAATTAAGTATTGTATTTTGTCAGGAGGGCCCAAACCATGTTATTCCTCTGCTCTAAAACCTTCAGTGGCTCTCTACTGTCTATACAATAACTACACATTTTTAAATCTGATATATGAAGCCATCCTCAAAACCAAGTCAAGGTGAACTCCCTGAAGGCAGATAGCATTTCTTACTCAATATTACCAGCACTGTGACATGTCCAGTGACAGTGTAGGTGTCAATAGATGCTCAGAAACAACTCTTTTATACAGGGACTCTCAATCACCCAAGAAAATTGGCAGAAACTTCTCTAGTCCTCTTTCCTCTACCTGTAAGGCCTTCCCCTGCCAGCTCTGCCAGTTAAATGCTGCCCAATTTCTTCAAAATCAATAATATCCTCATCACCAATAATGGCTACAATAACATCACTTTGCATTTGTATTGTGCTCTACAGCTCACAAGTGTAGACACAAAAAATCCAATTCTATTCTCATAATCAGCCTTGCTTTAATAGTCAGGGCAGGGATCATGGTCCTGGCTCCACAATGCAGAAACCACATTTTGTACAAGATCACGTCCTTATTAAATGGGAGATACCATTTCCTCCTGATTTCCACAACGGGTCGTGGTCTCTTTCTCTTCTTCAAACCCTTGTGGCATTCAGTTTGTGCATCTCTTTTCAAAATAACTCCATTCATTTTACATAGTCCTTTATAGTTTATTTAAAAAAAGTTTATCATGAAAAATTCTTACATTTTTCATTTTTACAACTTCATTTGGAAAAAAAATAATTCTCTCCTTACCATGAGGCCCCTGCTGCTTCCTCTGCTCTCTCTAAAACTATAAAAAGTAAAAGCTACCCAGTAGATTTCATCACCATCACTGCATTCATTTTATCATCCACCAAGAACAATAGAAACTAACATTTCTAAGGTTCCTACTCTCTGGAAGTTGTTGCCATAATTTTTAAATAGAAAATACTGCTTCATTTTACTTCTTTGTCCTTAGACTGTTAAATTCTCTCTCTCTCTCTCTCTCTCTCTGTCTCTCTCTCTCTGTCTCTCTGTCTCTCTCTCTCTCTCTCTCTCTCTCTCTCTCTCACACACACACACACACACACACATACACACACACACACACACACACACACAGAAATGACCCTAATCTGAAAATAAAGTATGTACTCCTTCTCTATGGACACTTTGACAAATGGGGAAAGAGAAGAGGAGTAGTGGTGATGAAAAGGATCTTAAATCCTTTCTGCAACTCTGCTACAGTGACTGATTTAAGAACCAAGTCTAGCTGGAGTCCATCAGGGGATCCAGAATGTGTTGACAAGAGCTGCCAGTTAGGGGAATTTCTGGTGAAGACATTCTCAGGCAGGAAAAGACTCCAGAAGAGAGGTTTTCATGAGGAGACTCTTCCTCCTTCACCTTGGTTCTGAGTGACAGTTCCAAACCAGAAGAAGGCTGGAGAACAGAACCAAAGTGGAAGCCACCACCAGAAATCTTTTGGATCTGAGAACTGGAAAGTCCCTGTGCTAAGATGCAGCATTACACAACTCCAGGGGTCACTCTTCACATGCCCTATACTGTGCATATGGCCTTGGAATTGTGCAACATGGGGTCCTCCTCATGGTATCTGGCCCTGTCCTCCCATTCCACTGACTGCAAGTCACAGTGGACATCCATGTGGAGACCCTCAAGGGACCAGGGGTCTTCCAAGCTTTCATTACTCATTTGATGATTTGGTGCTTGGCATTTTGATTTCAGTTCACTTTATGGCTTTCTGTAATTTCATGTTAAAGGTGTCTATGACGGGCACTGGGATTCTCTAGACATGCTAAGGAGGAACTCAAAGGTGCGTATCATGCCAATTGTGTGATTCCTCCGATAGCGTGACTCAAGCTTCTGATGGCAAAGATTTCTCTGGAAAAAAGGTCAACTTCATCCAGACTGTGTGGCCTTCATTCTTTTAGCTATGTTTTTCTGTGAAAAGCATTATATTTTGAGAAAAGCAAATTAGAAATTATTCTAACTTACATATGAGGCCCAGTGACAATTTCCCATCCACCCTTCAGGTTTGTAGTTCCCAAAACCAACTGTACTTTAGAATTACTTACAGAAAATATATTGATACCTGGTTTCTACCCTAGGACAAATAAGCCAAGGTCTCTGAAGGTGGGGCCCAGGCAACTATATTATATATATATATATATATATATATATATATATATATATTTTTTTTTTTTTTTTTTTTTTTAAATAGAGTCTCACACACTGTTGCCTGGACTGGAGTACAGTGGCATAATATCGGCTTACTGCAACCTCCATCTCCCGGGTTCAAGTGATCCATCTGCCTCACTGGGATTATAGACACATGCCACCATGCCTGGCTAATTTTTTGTATTTTTAGTAGAGACGGGGTTTCACTATGTTGGCCAGACTGGTCTCGAACTCCTGATCTCATGATCCACCCACCTTGGCCTCCCAAAGTGCTGGGAGCAACTACATCTTTTAAAAGGTTTCTAAGTGATTCATTGTGCTGTCAGGGTGGTGAACCTGTGCCTTGGCTAGTTTTCTTATTCTGCCTCTGATCTCAGCCTCAGTGATAAATTGAGCTTCAGAAGGTTTGCTCAGCTGGAGAAAGAGTTATGAAACTGGAGAGGACACCAATGACATAAAAAAAAAAATGAGATGAACAGGTCATCTAAAACAAATATTTAACAAGTGCCACATTCCTGGTCATGTACTAGGTGCTGAAAACACAAAATAATTATGACAAACTCCCTGCCTTCAAAAAGTTTCTGCTCTAGCTGGAAAGACACGTACGTGAATTACTGTAACACAGAGCAAAATTAAATCAAGGTATTATGGGAGCATAGGCTGGGGGAATAAGGGAAGGTTTTGGAAGAGAAAATACACTTGAGGTAGGTGTTCAAGGAGGAATAAAGTTTTGATCAGTGGAAAGGAGGCAGAAGTCACTGCGAAGAGAGATGTAGCTTGAGCAAAGGCATAGAGGCAAGAAAGTGGATGAGATATTGAGGAATTACAGGAACATGGTTCAGAAAATAGTAGCCTATGAGGCTGGAGGGTTTTTTAAAAATTATTACTTCTAAAATTTTTTGTAGAGTTAGGGTCTCATGTCGCCCAGGCTGGTCTCAAACTCCTGGGCTCAAGCGATCCTCCTGCCTCAGCTTTACAAAGTGCTTGGATTATAGACACAAGCCACTGTACCTGGAGCAAGGCTGAAGATTTAAATTTAAATGTGAAACCAGGCACATTGGTTCTATAATTGTACCTGTGAACAGCCACTGCACGCCAGTCTGGGCAATACAGTGAGACCCTGTCTCTTAAAATGCTTTTGAAATTAAAAAAAAAAAATTGGTGGAAGGCCTCAAAAGCCCTCACAAGTAATGTGTAGGTGTTATGAGTTTGTGAGTCTATATGGCATGTGTCTTAGATGGAGAGAATACAACAAGGATTCAAAACCAAATAGTGCCGTGATAAGATCTGAAACAAATAGAAACATATCAATATGAACTTTGATAAATACATCTGAGGTAGTTACTCATCCTGTTCAGCAGACTTCTCTGTTTTTATGCTTTAGCACTTGTAGGTGCTAACGATGAGGCAGAAAGCTGCACAGAAAAGCCACTTAAATTATTCATCCTAAATCAAGTTGGGTTTAAGAGTCTCCTCTTACTGCTCCCACTATTCTGAGGGACCTGGACATACCACTGTTGCATTTTTTCTGTGCCCTGTACATATGTTCTCTCTGTTCAGAATGCTATTTCTTCCCTTCTGTGATAATGCCCATGTACTGACTCAACTCTTTAAGTTGCCAGCTCTGTGCGTCTTTCTACAGCAATTTTGTAGGGACAGCTAATATAACACTTATTGATTATATTATATTTAGCAACATGTCTGTCTTTCCCCAAAGACTGTGAATGCCTGGAAGACAGAAACACGATCTTTTTAAAGTTTCAATCACCAGGACTCAGCACAGTGGCTAACACGCTGGTGGTGCAGACTGAATGAATGAATGAAGGAGAAAGCACTTACCAGATGTTGGAAAGATCCAAACTTACCAACTATGTTCTTTAATGTTTAGGTATTGAGATTCAGGAAATTTTTTTCCATATGTAAAACCATTTGCTTAGGTCAAAACACTTCTCTTCTAAAGTGTTCACTTATATAAGTAAAATGACAGTTGCTGAACCTATCAATTTATTTCCATGAAACAAGCAACATTTCTCTCTTTAGCACTAATCTGCCAAGGAAATATTAAAGTTAATGTATTGTTAGCTAGAAATATAAATATCACTCAAAAAGCTCCTGAAAGCCAATGAAGCCTACAAAAGGGGAAAAATTCCCTAAGGGGTATGACAATAGAATTTGGGCTTCCTGGGATAAGAGAGAGGGTGGTGCTCTTTGTGAATTTTGATGATTTCATGGGCATTATCACAGTTCCTTAAATGTATTCCACTAGTTGGAGGATTAAAAGGTTTACTGGTGAGAGTGTCAGTTGTCAAAGGACGGAGGATAGAGTCTACAATCTTGTAAAAGAGAGCTCCAGCAGCTCCTCCAGTATGAAATATTTGTTATTTCAGGAATAATTTTGCCCTACTGTTATACTTCCTTGGTTCTTTAAAAATCCTCTTGCCCCTGGAAGAAATAACAGGTTTAAGAAACTTCACTTTTGCACTGTTGCTCCCAAACTCTATTTGTGAGGTGCCTTGTCTGTTTCTCCTTGCATTTGTATTGGCTTTTGCCTCATGTATTTTGATGCTCTGTTGTTAGGTGTATACACATTATGGATTGTTTTGTCCTCTTGGAGAATTGAACCATTTATCGTTAGGTAACGTGCTCTTCTTCATCCTTGATAATTTTCCTTGTTCTGAAGTCTACATTGCCTGAAATTAACAGAGCTACTCCCTCCAGCTTTCTTTTGAATAGTGTTAGCGTATATTATGGGTTGAATTGTGTCCCCTCCCCCAAATTTTTATTGTTGGAATTCTAACCCCCAATACCTCAGAATGGGACCTGTATATTTGGATACAGGGTCTTTAAAGAGGTATACAATTAAAATAAGATCATAAGAATGGGCCCTAATCCACTATAATTCGTGTCCTTATATGAAGAGGAAATCTGGACACAGACATGAACAGAGGGAAGCCTATGTTCTTCTCAAGAGGGAGAAGATGGCCATCTACAAGCCAAGGAAAGAGGCTAAGAACAGCTCCTTCCCTCATGATCCTCAGAAAAAAAATAATTCTGCCAGCACCTTGATCTCAGATTTCTAACCTCCAGATTGTGAGAACATAAATTTCCCTTGTTTAAGCCACCTAATTTCTAGAACTTTCTTATGGAAGCCCTAGCAAATGAATATAGCATGGTATCTCTTCCTCTATCCCATTACTTTTAACCTACTTGTATCTTTATAGAGTCAGTTTCTTGTAGACAACATATGGGTCTTGCTTTTTATTGTCTGACAATCACACTGACAAAAACAAAACAAAACAAAACAAAACAAAAAACCAAAAACAAAAAAAACCTGATATATTTGGACAATTCACACTTAAAGTGGCTATTGATGTATTTGGTTTAATATCCACATGTTCCCAGTGTTTTTTACTCATTGCACTTGTTCTTTGTTTCTTTTTGTTCCCCTTTCTTTTCTCTCTTCTTTGGCATATCAATTACACTTCCTTTTGAATTTTTTTTAAGTAGTTGCCTTAGAGTTTCCAATATACATTCACAACTGATCTAAGTCTATTTTCAAGTAACACAATGCCACTCTAGAGGTACTGCAGTTACCTTGTTCCCAATTCCTCCCTCCCATCTCTTAGAGCATTTATGCCATTCATTTGACTTATCCATATGCTATCATCACCAGCTATATTATTACTGTTATTACTTTAAACAGAGAGTTGAAAGGTTTAAAGTATGGGAGGGGCAACAGGACACATACCAAATTACTGTACTAAAATGTAGAGTAATGGTTTAAAAAAACCAGAAAATCCACATAATAAGGTAGTCATTTGGAGGAAGGAGGCATTAAACCTAGAAATATTAGGAAAGGCCACATTTGGTATGAACATGGAAAGATCAGTAGGATTTGGACATGCATAGAGGAAAGGGCAACTGGTAGAGAATATCCCAGGTGGGAGGCACAGGGTGGGGAGAGGATTGGGATTAAAAAACACTGAGAATTTCAATTTGGTTAGAACTAAAGATGTGTGATGGAGAGTAATTGGAAATAAAGTTAGGAAGCAAGGTTTGGCCCATGTGGAATTTCTATTAACTTGCATGTTTGTACATCTGTCATGTGATATTAATTGACATTCATAATAATAACTAAGATACTATAAAACCCAAGGTGCTAAAGTAAAAAACTAAGATACTACAAAACCCAAAACTGCTAAAGTAAAAATAACATTTAATATAATTTTAATGCTGTTTGTTTACTGTGTTCTCATTGTAAGCTAGTATAAAGTTCCATTTCTGAGGAGGAGTTAGGTTGGTAAGGGACATAAATAAGAGTAATTAAAGTCAATGAACAAAGCAAAAATTACGTAGTTAAAATTATCCTTGAAAATTCTTTAAATTGTCCGTAAGGTTCATTAAGCATGACTTTATAAATACTATTTTATACAATAATTCTTAGGCACACTAAGTTGTGAGAATAACTAAACTAGATAATCTAAATAACAAAAAGAGTAAGAGGAAAAAAGGGAATGAAATTTATAAGCACATGTCTGGGCATTTAAGCCGCTCCATATATAAAATGATTATGAAATTCCTATGTAGTGAATGAGAGATAAGTGGAAAATCCTAGCATTCCTGATTATCTGCAGCATTTACTCTTTTGGGTTTGAGATAAAGCCTCTTTAACCTTACTATATATATATGAACAAACTGTTTAGTGATGGTGTGTGTGGTGGCAGAGGACAATAGACAGTGAGGTTTAAGTACTAAAGTCAGTGGATTCATTATATACATGTTTAAACTGATACCATAAGATAGTAGAAATATGAATTTTGTGTCTACAATAGTTAGAATTCTCTTAGTGAAAGTAGAAGTTCAAGAGAAAAAAAAAAGAAAAAAAAGAAAGTAGTGGAAGTTTCATTTGAGCTAGTTAAAGCAATTAAAGAAAAATGAGGGATGGATTGGAGAAAGGTGGGGCCAGATGGCTGAATAGACACCTCCAGTGAACATCCCTCTGCCAGGAACAGCAAACTGAAAAACTATCCAAACGAAAAAGCCCCTTCATAAGAACCAAAAATCAGGTAAGTGATCACAGTACCTGGTTTAAACAACTTAGCAAGGTTGGGCACTGAAGAGGAAAGACGGTCTTGAATTGCTGACACCACCCCTCCTTCATCCTCCAGCAGCAGCCATGTGGTAAGAAGAGAGAATCTATATCCCTGGGAGAGGAAAAGTACAGTGATTGTGAGACTTTGCACTGGAACTCAGTACTGTCACAGTGGAAAGCAACACAAGAAAGAATTCAGCTGATGCTCACAGAGCACCATTTAGAACAGCATTAGCCAGAGGGGGATCACCCATCCCAATAGTCAGAACCTGAGTTCCAGCAAGCCACACAACCATAGGCTAAAGTGCTCCAGTACTCTAAGTAAACTTGAAAGGTAGTCTAAGCAACAAGGACTACATTTCCTGGGAAAGTCCTGGTACTGTGCTGGACTCAGAGCCAGTGTACCTGGGGTGCACAGGACCTAGTGAGACCTTAGCTGGAGTGGCCAGGGGAGTGCTTATGTCAAAACTCCCTCAAGCCTGGGCAGCACAGCTTGCAGCTCCAAAAGAGACTCCTTCCTTCCACTTGAGGAGAGAAGAGGGAAGAGAAAAGACGACTCTGTCTTGCAACTTGGATGCCATCTCAGCCACAGTAGAACAGGGTACCAGGAAGAGTCCTGAGGTCCCCAAACCAGTCCTAGTTCCTGAACAACATTTCCAGACACACTGTGAGCCAGAAGGGGACCCTCTGCCTTGAAGAGGAGGACACAGTTCTGGCAGGATTCATCATTTGCTGACTAAAGAGCACCTGAGCCTTGAATAAACACCACCAGCAGCAAGGCGGTACTCTCACAGGACTTGGGTAAGACTGAATGCTGTGCTAGCTTCAGGTGTGACCCAGCACCTTCCCAGCTATAGTGGCTATGAAGAGGGACTCCTTTGGTTTAACAAAGGAGAGGGAAGAGTAAGCCTTGCAGCTTGAGTACCAGCTCGGCCACAGTGGGGTAAAGCACCAAGTAGGCCCCTGGGGTCTCTGATTCCAGGCTTTGGCTCCTGGATGGCATTTAGACTAACCCTGGGCCAGACGGGAGCACACTGCCCTAAAGAGAGAACCAGGCCTGACAGCATTCACTGCAAGCTGACTGAAGAGCCCTTGGGACTTGTGTAAATCAGGCAGTATTTGCCATAGGCCTGGGGCAGTGGTGGCCACCGGGAAAAACTCATTCTGCTTGAGGAAAGGAGAGGTAAGAGTGGAAAGGACTTCATCTTGTGGCTTAGATGCTAGCTCAGCCACAGTAGAATAAAGCACTAAGGAGCTGCCTAAGGTTCCCAACTCCAGGCTTTGGCTCCCAGATAGCATTTGTGGACTTGCCCTGGGCTGAGGGAAGCTTACAGTCCTGACAGGAAGGACACAGGCCCGGCTGGATTTGCCACCTGCTGACTGAAGAGCCCTTGAGCCTTGAGGAAACACATGCAGGGGCCAGGCAGCGGCTGCTGCAGCCCTTGGGCGAGATTTAGTACCGTGCTGGCTACAGGTACGACCCAGCACAGTCCCAGTGGTGGTGGTCATGGGGGTGCTTGTGTCACTCCTCCCCTAGATCCAGGCAGCTCATCATGGAGACACTTGATTTATGAAGAGAACAAGAGTTTCTGCCTGGTAATCCAGAGAATTCTTTCGGATCTTACCCAAGACCACCAAAGCAGTACATCTACGTGTCTCTAAGAATCACAGCGTTACTGGGCTTAGAGTAACCACTAATCCAGATATGCTTGCAGTGAGCAGAGATTTAGATCACAACACTCAATTCCCTCTGAATACTCAGAAATCCTTCCCAAGAAGGATAGGTACAAACAAGCTCAGGCTGCAAAGACTATAATAAAAACTTAACTCTTCAATGCCCAGACATTGCTGAATATCCACAAGCATCGAGACCATCAAGGAAAACATGACCTCATAAACAACATAAATAAGCCACCAATGACCAATCCTGTAGTGACAGAATTACGTGAACATTCAGACAGAGAATTCAAAATAGCTGTTTTGAGGAAGTACAACAAAATTCAATATAACATACACATATAAAGAAGGAATTCAGAATCATATCAGATAAATTTAACAAAGAGATTGAAATAATGTTTAAAAACCAAACAGAAATTCTGGAGCTAAAAAATTCAACTGACATACTGAAGAAGGAATCAGAGTCTCTCAACAACAGAATTGATCAAGCAGAAGAAAGAATTAGTGAGCCTGAAGACAAGCTACTTGAAAATATACAGTCACAGGAGACAAAAGAAAAAAGAATAAAAAAGAAAAAAGCATGCCTACGAGATCGAGAAAATGGCCTCAAAAGGGCAAATCTAAGAGTTACTGCCTTTAAAGAGAAGATAGAGAGAGATTGGGGTAGAAAATTTATTTATAAAGATAATAACAGAGAACATTCCAAACCTAGAGGAAGCTGTCAGCATTTAAGCACAAGAAGATTATAGAACACCAAGCAGATTTAACCCAAAGAATACTACTTCAAGGCATTTAATATCAAACTATCAAAGGTGAAGGAAGGAAAGAACCTTAAAAGCAGTAAAAGAAAAGAACCAAATAACATACAAAAGAGTTCCAATATGTCTGGCAGCAGACTTGTCAGTGGAAACCTTACAGGTTTGACATGGCAGTGCATACGGCATGACAGAGTGGCATGACATATTTAAAGTGCTGAAGAAAAAACTTTTATCCTAGATTAGTATATCCAGCAAAAATTTCTTTCAACTATGAAGAATAAATAGAGACATTCCCAGACAATCAAAAGCTGAAGGATTTCATCAACACCAAACCTGTCCTACAAGAAATGCTAAAGGGAGTTCTTCAGTCTGAAAGAAAAGGATGTTAACAAGCAGTAAGAAGTGATCTGAAGGTAAAAAACTCACTGGTAATAATAAGTAAACAGACAAAAACAGACTTTTTTTTCTTAAGACAGGGTCTGGCTTTGTTGTCCACCCAGTCTGGAGTACAGTGGTACTATTAATAACATAGCTCACTGCATCTTCAACTCCTGGGCTCAGGTGATCCTCCCACCTCAGCCTTCCAAGTGGCTGGGACCACAGGCCCATGCCACCATGCCTGGTTTATTTATTTAAAAAAATTTTGTAGAGACAGGGTCTTGTCATGTTGCCGAGGCTAGTTTGAAACACCTCGGCTCAAGCTGTTGAGACTGCCTGCTCAACATGGCCAAGACTGCCTTGGCCTCCCAAAGTGCTGGGGTTATAGGCATGAGCCACTGTGCCCAGCCAAACATAGAATAACAACACTGTAATTGTGCTATGGAAGTTACTCATATCTTGACCAGAAATACTAAAATATGAACCTATCAAAAATAATAATTACAACAACTTTTCAACACACAGACAGTATAATAAAATATAAATAGGAACAACAAAAAGTTAAAAAGCAAGCAGTTAACGTGTAAAGTGAAGTGTAGAGTTTTTATTACTCTTCTCTTTGCTTATTATTTTTACAACCAGTGTTGTCATCAGTTTAAAATAATGGGTTATAAGTTGTTATTTCTAAGCCTCATGAGAACTTCAAATTAAAAAGCCTACAGCAGATACACAAAAAGTAAAAAGCACGAAATTAAAACATACCACTAGAGAAAATAATCTTTACAAAAAGGAAGGTAGGAAGGAAGAGAGGGAGGGAGGGAGCGAGGGAACAAGGGAAGGGAAGAAAGCAGGCAAAGCAGGCAGGCAGGGAGGGAAGACCATAAAACAACCAGGAAACAAATTATAAAATGGCAGAAGTATGTCCTTACTTATCGATAGTAACATTTGATATAAATGGACTAAATAAAAAAGACATAGAGTAATTGAACTAATTTAAAAAGATCCAATGATCTGTTGTCTACAAGAAACACACTTTACCTGTAAAGACACAGGGACTCAAAATAAATATATGGAAAAAATATTCCATGCCAATTGAAACAAACAAGCAACAACAACAACAACAACAAAAAACAGAGCAGGAGCAGCCATATATATACAAACATACCTATCTATCTATCTATCTATCTATCTATCTATCTATCTATCTATCTATTTTTTTGAGATGGAGTCTTGCTCTGTTGCCCAGGCTACAGTGCAGTGGCATGATCTGTTTACTGCAACCTCTGCCCCACTAGGTTCAAGCAATTCTCCCACTCAGCCTCCTGAATAGCTGGGATTATAGGCATGTGCCACTGTGCCTGGCTAATTTTTGTATTTTCAGTAGAGACAGGGTTTCACCATGTTGGCCAGGCTGGTCTTGAACTTCTGACCTCAAGTGATCCACCCACCTCAGCCTCCCAAAGTGCTGGGATTACAAGCAGGAGCAGCTATATGTTTATTAGACAAAAGATTGCAAAACAAAAACTACAAAAAGAGACAAAGCAGGTCAAGTCAAGCCTATAGGAGGCTCCAAACTTTCTCACATTTTCCTGTCGTCTTCTGAGCCCTCCAAACTGTTCCAGCCTCTGCCTGATACCCAGTTCCAAAGCCACGTCCACATTTTTGGGCATCTTTTCTGCAACACCCCACTCTACTGGTACCAATTTACTGCATTAGTCCATTTTCATGCTGCTGATAAAGATATACCCGAGACTGGGAAGAAGAGGTTTAACTGGGCTTATAGTTCCACATGGCTGGGGAGGCCTCAGAATCATGGTGGGAGGTGAACAGCACTTCTGGCATGGCAGTGGCAAGAGAAAATGAGGAAGATGCAAAAGTGGATACAACCATCAAATCTCATGAGACTTACTCACTATCACGAGAATACTATGGGGGAAACTGCCCTATCAATCAAATTATCTCCCATGATTCAAATTATCTCCCATCAAGTCCCCCCCACAACATGTAGGAATTACGGGAGTATAATTTATGATGAGATTTGGGTGGGGACACAGAGTCAAACCATATCAGTGGGGGAAGCTTCCTAGATGAGATGAGTTTTGAGTCCAACAAAATAGTTATTTCTTTACTTTGAGGTGGGGGAAAGGGATGGGGAAAAGCAAGCAAAAAATGGCATTCTAAGAAGAAAGAGTAATAGTTGCAAAATCAATCTGGATTTTAAAAAATGTTTTATTATAGAAATCATAAAGAAGGCCTGGTGTGGTGGCACATGCCTATAATCTTAGCACTTTGGGAGGCTGTGGTAGGAGGATTGTTTGAGCTCAGGAACTGGGGATTAGACTGGGCAAAACAGGGAGTCCCAATTTCTGGAAAAAAAAAAATTAAAAATCAGCCCAGTGTAGTGGCATACACCTGTGCTTCCAGCTACTTGGGAGGCTGAGGAGGGAGGAGGTCAAGGCTGCAGTGAACCATGATCACCTCCATTGCACTCTAGTCTGAGTGACAAAGCAGGGCCCTGTCTCAAAAATAAATGAATGAAAGAAAGAAAGAGAGAGAGAGGGAGGGAGGGAGGGATGAAGGGAGGGAAGGAGGGGAAATGAAAGGAAGGGAAGGGAAGGGAAGGGAAGGGAAGGGAAGGGGAGGGGAGGGGAGGGGAGGGGAGGGGAGGGGAGGGAAGAGAGGGGAGGGGAGGGGAGGGGAGGGAAGGGAAGGGAGAGAGAAAGAAAGGAAGAAAGAAGGGAAGGAAGGAAGAAAATCATAATGGGATTTTGATAAATTTTTAAATTAATTTGGTGGAACTGAACAACTTTACAATATTAAGTATTTTTTATATATATTCAAGTCTTTAATTGTATCCTTTATGAAAATATGGAAATCAAGTTAAAGTATAAATATTGTTGTTAGGTAAGATTTGAGTCTTACTCCTGTTATATAGTATATGAGACTTGGACCTTGGTCAAGTTACTCTCTAAGCCTCAATTTCCTAGTTTGTACAATGGGGGTGATTGTAATGCCTACTTTGTGGGGTGCCATTAGTATTAAATAACATATTGCATGTAAAGTGCCCAACCAAGTCCTTTACACATCACATACAATCAAATAAAAAGCTACTTCTTCCCTCTTCCCTACGGTAAGCACTTATACATACACACATTTACAGTATACAATTTGGTAAATTTTGACATATATATACATCCATACAACTACTATCACAATCAAGCTAATGAACATTTCTATAACTCCCAAAGTTTCCTCATGCCCCTTTGTGATCCTTCCTTCCACCCCTATCCCTCATCTAGCTATTATTCTCAATTTTTCAAATAGGTCTCATAATTCCTTATAAACACAAACTTGATATTTGTTATTTTTTAGTAATCTTTTTCCTACTACATTTTAATTTTGTTGTTGTTGTTTTTAGAGACAGGGTGTCAGTCTTTTGTCCAGGCTGGAGTGCAGTGGTGGGATCATAGCTCATTGCAGCCTCAAATGCCTGTGCTCAAGTGATCCTCCTGCCTCAGCCTCCTGAGTAGCTGGGACTATAGGGACATGCCACCATACCCAGCTACCTTTAATTTTTTTTTAAGAAATAGGGTCTCACTATTTTGTCCAGGTTGGTCTTGAATTTCTAGCCTCAAGCAATTCTCCCTTATTGACTTCCCAAAGTGCTGGGATTATAGGCATGAGCCATCACACCTAGTCTTCTTCCCACTACATTTTAAAATTGATGATTGTTGTTTAGGAGAGGTATTTTCTAGCCACCTTATTGAATTAGTTTCAATTTGCTCGATGGATTTTCCAAGAAAGCAATCAATCATAATACCCTAAAAGAATTTTTTTAAATGTTCTTTCCAATATACATACTTAATGTTTTATTTTGTTTGGCCTTGCTGGTTCAGTTAGAACTTCAGGAAAATGTTGGCTAGTGGTAGCAAGCCTGTCCCTAACAACTTGATGACCCAGAGTACAAGAAGAGGTTCACACACCGTATGTTTGAATATTTAAAGATTACAAATCAAGCTAACCAACTGTTAGATTAAAAAGTTTTATCCAACTACCTTGACACACCTAACTTACAGCAAACATACATATGACAACCTAGAAGCTCAGATCCAAATTTAGAATTTTTGAGTACCACACCTCCTGATTTTGGACCTGAGGTAGCTTGATCAGAACTTAACACAAATAATCTTTACCTCCAAAGATCTTATTTAACTGATCCTTGCGTGAGAAACATTTTCTCATGGTATTGCCTAATACTTTAATTTTTCTCCTTAGAATCAAAATTGGATAAATACATTCTGGGCTCAAACATCAGCATACATTATGCCCCCAAAGAAAATCCAGATTGCTTGGTAGATTTGGTGCTTTATTTTAGAAATTGTCTTTCAAGGCTTTTTAAAGGCTCTACAGGCCCCTAATCTTACCTGTTCTACAATTTCTGCCTCCTACTCTACTGAAAGACCCTAAGAACTGTGTTTCCTTAAGTGTGGTTTGAATGTCCTGATCACTTCTGAGACAATAAAATTAGTGAATACATTCTAAGCACATTATCTGAATATTCAGACATATTTTAAAAAGGGCTGGATCTGGATGTTAGACCCTGAAGAGAGGAGAACCTGTGACTTGGGCAAAGCTTCAAAGCCAGCCACCTGCTTCTTCATGTGGTAGCAGCTGGTCTAACTGGAATAACCTGGGAAGGAAATTAGGACACCCAGTTGGAGTTCCAGCTCTGTCATAAGCTGGCTGAACTGGAGTGAGCCACTTAAAACTCTTTGTTAAACCCCAGAGTCATAATCTATAAAAGCGGGATAAAGACTTTGCCTTAAACCCTCCGCCATTTTTTGGAGGAAACCACAATTTGTCTGAGCTTTAATTTCTGCACCTGTTGCAATTAAGGTGGCACTCCTGCCCTGTCCACTTCACAGGGCCTTTAGGGGCAGGATGGGGAGACACAACCTTTCTGAGCTTCAGTTTCAAAACAGAGCTAAGAATACACGCCCAACCTGCAAAGAAAATTCTAGGAAGAACAGAGGAAAACGGACAGGAAAACTGCAAAATGCAGTCGGACATACAAGCGTGAATTGTCTTAGACACAACAAGCAGACCTAAAAAGCGTTTCTGCGTCTCTCTCCTTTTGGTTCGAGTCACCATCCCATAATATAAATCATTTTGAACAAGACTTTCGCTGTTCAGAGCGACGTCCGCCTCTGTACTCACCTGTGTGACCCCGGCACCCCGCCCGGCTGCCTCGCGGGGTGGGGCGGGGCGGAGAGGCGTACCTCCCACCACCCCTCGCGACGCCCCGCCCCGTCGCTCCCGCGCCTGCGCCGTGGGCTCCGGCCGGCCTCAAGCGCCCGGGCGGGAGGTAAGGGGCTCTCTGGAGGCCTCCTCTGGGGGCCGTGACAGGCTTGGTGGGCTGGGCGCCCTTGTGGCGCGCGCAAGAGGCGCTGGGCGAGAAGTTGGGTATCGGATCAGAAGGGCGAGTGCCATGGTGGCTCCCCTTGTCTTTCAGAAGTGGCGGAGCCTCTCTCGGTTTCGTTTTTGGAAGCTTTATTAGAAGCTGGTATGGGGAGGCCTCAGACTGTGCGAGCGGGACGGCCTCCCGGAGTCGCCGGGTGGAAAAGTTTCCCGCGCGCGTCCTGTTTCTGGCGCGCAGTGGGCCCCGGGTCTGCAGCGTCGCCGGCGTCTGGGTCTCGGGCGCACCCGCGCATCCGTTCGCTGGTGGGCGCGTTTGTTGTGTGTGGCCCAGGTGTCCCGTGGGTGACCCTGCGAGGAATGAGGCGACGCTCGAGGGTAGTGAGTGGGAGACAGGGAGCGGGAGGCCGGAGCCCCCCGCCCGCCAGACCCAGAGGTGGTTTGCTGAAGGTTCCACAGCCGGCTTCCTCCTTTTAACTATCCGAGGTTCGGAAAGGAGACCTTGCAGTGCGGCTAAGGGCGTGGACTTCTCAAATTCGGTACCTCTTCCATAAGTCAGAAACACAAAGCGGCGGGCGGGAAGAAATTGGGCGCCACCAGTATCCCGAAAAGTGGGACCTCTGGGCCGGTGGAAGGTGTTCATACCATAGTGCGATTATCAAAAGCAAGAAATTAATGTTAGTTTAACACTGTTACCTGAACTCCTGACCTTCTTCTGATTTCTTTTATTCCCCCTGTATTAATTAATGTCTTTTTTCTATTCCAGGATCCACTCTTAAGACCCGACATTGCAGTTAGTTGTCTTGGGTCCTTGGGCTCCTCCAGTCTGTGACAGTTCTCAGTCTTTTCCTGTCTTTACAGTGATAGTCTTTTTCTGTCTTTATGCTCTTTCTGATCTTTACAGTTTTGAAGAGTGCTGGTCAGTTATTTTGTAGAGTGTCCCTCAAATGGGGTTTGTCCAATGTTCTCTCATGATTAGATTAAGGTTGTGCATTTTTGTTAAGAATAAAAGTGTATGTGCCCTTCTCAGTTCATCATATGAGCGTAGCTAATATATATGACTTATTGCTTGTGAGGTTGATCTTAATCACTTGCTAAGAGGTTTTCTGCTGGGATTCTTCAATGTAAAGGTCTTGTTTTCCTCCTTATAATTAAATGACATCTTGGGGGAAGCTTTTAAACTGTACACATATCCTATTACTTCTCAGACTTTCCCTTGCTAAATTTCGCATCCATTGGTGGATCTTGCCTTCAACAATTATTATGACTATGGTGTTGTAATGAGGATTTTCTACTTTACTCATTATTTATTCATTGAAATTAATCTGTAAGGATGACCTGCCCAGTTTTTCCCATTTGTTTATTTGTATTCTGTTATTTATTTGTATAGATGTGAACTCAAGATGTTTTTCTCTTGGTTGTTATCTTACATTGTGTTATTTTATGTGTGAAATTGTTCCAGCTTTGATCATTGGGAGTTTTTTTTTTTTTTCAGGTTGCTTTCTGTAGCTTTTCATCATATTTCCATTCTTTTTTTTCTTTTTTGGAACTTCCTAATTTTCTGGTATCATTTGTTGATGCCCCAGGCTCACCTTGTGTTTTCCCTGCCTCAGCCCTGGTATCAGCCACTTCTCCGAGGACCTGTAGTTTCTTTTTTTGGAGAATAGTATTTAAACAAAAAGATCTGTGCTCTAAGGATGCTCATTGCTACTGGTGTAACATTGCTTCCAGGGCCCCACAGAGGACATCAGTCTATGCATATGCACACCCATGCATACACAAAGATCTATATTTCTGTATTTATCTATTCATATATATAGATACAGCTATTTTTTTTTTTTTTTTTTTTTGAGACAGAGTCTTGCTTTGTTGCCCATACTGGAGTGCAGTGGTGCGATCTCAGCTCACTGCAACCTCTGCCTCTTTGATTCAAGCAATTTTCCTGCCTCAGCCTCCCTGAGTAGCTGGGACTACAGGTGCACGCCACTACATCTAGCTAATTCTTGTATTTTTAGTAGAGACAGGATTTCACCGTGTTGGCCAGGATGGTCTTAATCCCCTGACCTCATGATCTTCCAGCCTTGGCCTCCCAAAGTGCTGGGATTACAGCTGTGAGCCACTGCGCCTGGCCCCATGTATTTTTCAAAACAAGTTCATCCCAGTAGCTTTGCTTCTAGTCTAACACCACAGGGTTCATTCTAGTTTTGTCCCTTATTTTTAACTTCTTTATCTGACAGTGAGAAATCTGGCTCTTGCATTCTACAAATATATATATATATATATATATATATATATATATTTTTTTTTTTTTTGAGATGGAGTTTCGCTCTTGTTACCCAGGCTGGAGTGCAATGGCGCGATCTCGGCTCAACGCAACCTCCACCTCCTGGGTTCAGGCAATTCTCCTGCCTCAGCCTCCTGAGTAGCTGGGATTACAGGCACGCACCACCATGCCCAACTAATTTTTTGTATTTTTAGTAGAGACGGGGTTTCACCTTGTTGACCAGGATGGTTTCGATCTCTCGACCTCATGATCCACCCGCCTCGGCCTCCCAAAGTGCTGGGATTACAGGCTTGAGCCACCGCGCCCGACCCAAAATATTTTTTTATTTCTTCAGTCCTTGTATGCACATAAAGTAATTTTGGGATTTCAGACCTGCATTCCTGTGAGAAACACATTTACTAAATAGAGTATAGTGTGGTTCTTTTTGTCTCTAGCCTTATAGTATTCAGTTAAAATATTGTTTTCTAAAGTGCCTTAGATTATTTTTCTTCCTCACTTCTTTCAGTGTGGTTATGCTATTTGTTTATAATACAGTTTATGTTTTTATAGTTTATATTCCATTTTGGAAGGAAAGAGTCCAAAGCCAGACTAATTGAAGCCCCATTGTCATGTGCTATGCATATTGTGCTGTTTGACTAGAGTGATAGAATTAGAAATGGTGAAGAAGGGACATGTGAAGAAATATTTTAGTTCAGGCAGCATCTATTGAACAACAGGTATGTTCAAAAAACATTTTGATAGAAATGATGTAGATATAAAGATATCTCTCTGCAGTATAGAAGAAAACAAAAGAGGCAGTGTGATAGATAGGGAAATGTTAATGTTCGACAAATAATTGATATATTCAAAATGTAATAGCCTTTTATGAGTCAATAAGAGAAAGACATCCCCTGTAGTAAAACAGATGTGATGACATGAGCAGGCAATTCATGAAAGAAGAAATGAAATGGTTACAAAAAAATAGTGAGAAAGAATGAATAAAATCTAGTACTTGATAGCAGAACAGGGTGACTATAATAATTCAGTAGGGTATTTAAAAATAACTAAAAGTATAATTAGATCGTAACACAAAGAATAAATGCTTGAGGTGATGGATACCTCATACTTTAATGTGATTATTACACATTGTATGCTTGTATCAAAATAACTCATATCCCATAAATATGTGTACCTACTATTAATATATACCCACAAAAATTAAAAATTAAAAAAAGAAATGCAAATGAGTGATAAAGCCACACCACTAGTAATTTAAGGAATCCAAATTAAACAATAATGAGACATTGTTTTTTCACCAATGACATGTCTAAGAATGATAATACTAAGTACATTGGTTGGAATATGGATAAATGAATATTGTGTTATGTTTCTGGTAGGAACATAATAGGCATAACTTTTTGTGGGATATGGCAATATGTATATAAAAAACCTTGAAAAATCTGTCTAGTAATTCTATATCCAGATATTTATTTTTTATTTTTATGTTACTTTTTTCAATTAATACACAAGAATTTTACATATTTATAGGATGCATGTGATACTTTGATACATGCATACAATGTGTAATGATCAAATCAGGTCATTTGGGATGTGTATCACCTCAAACATTCGTTATTTCTTTGTGTTAGGAGCACTTCACATCTTCTCTTGTAACTATTTTGAAATATGCAATAAATTGTTGTTAACTATAGTCACCCCACTGTGTTATCAAACATCAGAAATGTATTCCTTCTATTTAACTGTATGTTTGTGCCCATTAACCAACTTCTCTTCATCCCTCCTGCCCTTCCAATCATTCTACTCTCTACCTCCAGGAGATGAACATTTTTTTTTCCTTTTTTCTTTAGAAATGGGGGTCTCACTATGTTGCTCAGTCTGGCTTCTAACTCCTGGGCTCAAATGATCTTCCTACTAGCTAGGAGTACAGGCTAGGTGTTCCATCCATGTTGCCTGTAAATGGCAGGATTTCCTTCTTTTTTTTTTTTTAATGGCTGAACAATATTTCATTGTGTATATATACCACATTTTCTATTTCCATACATTCATTGACAGACTCTTAGGTTGATTCCATGTCTTGGGTATTGTGAATAGTGCTGCAGTGAATAGGCCTACAGGTATTTCCTTAATATACTGATTTTCTTTCCTTTGGATAAATAGCTAGCAGTGGTATTGCTGGATCATACGGTAGTTCTATTTTTAATTTTTTGAGAAGCTTCTGTACAGTTTTTCTTTCTTTTTTTTTGAGACAGGATCTCACTGTGTTATCCAGGCTGTAGTATAGTAGTAAGAACACTGCTTCCTGCAGGCTCACATTTTGGGGCTCAAGGGATCTTCCCACCTCAGCCTAACAAGTAGCTGGAACTATAGGCACACATCACCAGACCCAGCTAGTTTTTAATTTTTTCAGAGAAGCAGGGTCTTGCTTATTATCCAAGCTACCCTCGAATTCCTGGCCTCAAGTGATCCACCTCCCTCAGCCTTCTAAAGTGCTGGAATTACAGCTGTGAGCCACTGTACCCAGCTCATACTGTTTTTCATAATGGGTGTACTAATTTACATTCCCATGAACAATGTATAAGAGCACTGTTTCTCACTGGGCGCCATGGCTCACGCCTGTAATCCCACCACTTTTAGAGGCCAAGTTGGGCAGATCACCTGAGGTCAGAAGTTCAAGACCAGCTTGGCCAACTTGGTGAAACTGTGTCTCTACTAAAAATACAAAAATTAGCTGAGCGTGGTGGCACACACCTGTAATCCCAGCTACTCGGGAGGCTGAAATAGGAGAATTGCTTGAACCCAGGAGGCAGAGGTTGCAGTGAGCCAAGATCATGCCACAGCACTCCATCCTGGGCAACAAGAGCAAAACGCCGTATCCAAAAAAAAAAAGAGTCCGTTTTTTCTACATCCTCACCCTCGCTAGCATTTGTTATTTTTTTATCCTTTTGGTGGTAGCCATTCTAACTGGGGTAAGATGTTATCTCATTGTGGTTTGATTTGCATTTCCTTGATGATTAATGATGTTGAGCATCAAAAAAAATACTTTTAGGTCATTCGTATGTCTTCATTTGAGAAATGTCTATTCAGCTTCTTTGCCAGTTTTTAAATGAAACCATTTGTTTCTTTGCTGTTGAATTGCTTCAGTTTCTTATACAATTCTAGGTATTAGTCCCTTGTTGGATGATTAGTTTGCAAATGTTTTTTCCCTTTTTACAGGTTGTGTCTTTGTTGATTATTTTAAGGAAATAATTATAGGTGACAGTATGGATTTATGTATAAGCAGGGTAATTATACTGTAGTTTGTAGTAGTGGACAATTGGAAACAACCTAAATAGCCAACAGTAGCCAATTTGTAAAATTATGAAGCATCTACATAATTAATAGAAAATTATTTACGTGGAAACATTTTTATTATACTTCATCGCACTATTCAAAATAAATGTTTTATTTTCTTTGTTGTTCATCCACCCATTTATTCTATCTGGCAACAGTTTATTCTGTTCATTGCTTCTTGCTATTTTGCTCCTTTGGGTTTATTTTCTTTATTGTTAAAATATTCCTTTTAGTAGTTCTGTTAATTAGGGGTTTGGTAATAAACTCTCTTAGTCTTTGTATGTCTGAAAATGATTATTTTGCTTTCATTCTTAATGATAATTTACCTAGCTATATACTAACTCTCTCAGCACTTTGAAGCTATTTCTGTCTTTTAATATCTTGCTGTTAAAAGCAAGATATTATTGCTTTATCTGTCTTTTATCTCTCATTTGTATTTTATGATTTTTTTCTTTAATGTTTTGTAATTTCCTTCCATGTATTTAGGCAATTTTTTTTTTAAATTTATGCTACTTGAGGCTGATGTGCTTTTTCAGTTTGAGGTTTTACATTTTTATTCTCAGTATATTCTCTTTGAATAATTCCTGTTTATCATTTTCTTTGTTCTTTCTTTCTGGGACTACTACTTGTTATTGAGCTTCTCATTTTATTCTTTATATCTTTTATCTTCTTTTTTATACTTTCCATATTTTTATTCCTCTGTGTTCTGAGTGATTTCTTCCAATCAGTAATTGTCTCTTAGCTATATAGTTTACTGTTTAACATATCTTTTGAGATTTTCATTTTTAGAAGTTTTACTTGGTTTATATTCAGATTGGCCTCTTATTGTTTCATAATATCTATTTTTAAAGATTCCGTTCTTTCCTCTATGTCTTTGGATATTTAAAAACATACTTACTTTAATTTCTTTTTAAAATTATTATCTTTAGTCCATTAGCTATGAATTCTCCTGTTTTGTTGGGTCTGTGGACGGTCTCTGTTGGTAATGAATTTCTCCATATGTCTCCAGTTCCCATTCACTGTTGCACGTGTTTTACGCTCTTTGTTTTTGTACCTGGAGATTTTCCTTTTTTACTCTTGAGCTTGTATCAAACATAAAAACCAGGTTACTAATAGATAGGCATTGGAGGCAGTCTTTATAACCAACATGTCAAGATTTTCAACTGTGAAAGAAAGGGGATAAATATTTAATGTTTTGGGGATGATAGATCTCTGAGAATCTCTTCAAACAATGGACTCTATTCTCTAAAATAAACTACATTAACTTTTTTCCCCCTTTTGGTAGAGATGGGATTTTGGCATGTGCCCAGGCTGGTCTTGAGCTGCTGGGCTCAAGCAGTCCTCCTGCCTTGGCCTCCCGAGTAGCTGGGATTACAGATGTGAGCCACTGTACCCAGCCCCTTCATTCACAATTTTTTATAAAGAGTCAGAGGCTCCACAAAGTCTGTAGGTGAATTCCTATCTCTATGGACCCTGGACTAAGATAGCATAACTCAGCAGTACTAACATACTCAAAATTTTTTAAAACATGGGAGAGGCTGTACCTAATCAAATGGCATGGTGTACAATGGTGGCTTTCAAGCTTGGTTAGGCTGTGAAGCCCATTATTTATATAAGCTCTGACAAGCTCCAATTCATAAAATAGTTGTAAGTAAAGTTTCTGCAGTTGAATTAGGGGGTGGGATCCTGAAACCTGCTCCCCTCCAGCCCCTACCTTTGTACTCTGGCCCCAAATGCATACCCTTGGACTTTCTGGAATGCTAGTAGAAGACTATGGGTGAAGTGGAAAAAAGTATTTCAGTGTAATTTCAGAAAACATGGGTTCTTATTCCAGCTCTGTCACTGGTTATTTGAATCAGTTGTAGGCAGTACTAATCACTTTATTGAAAATGGAAGAGGCAATTTAAATCAATGAGAAGAGTTGCATATCACGTTATATTTGAAGTTGTGTAATTACATAGTTACATTATGATGACATGAGACGTGAAGTTTAATGCAAGCATCATTGTTAAGCCATTTGGCACCTTTTTAAAAAAAGTTATTCAATGTCCAAGATAGATTAGAAAATTAAAACTTGGACAGTACTCCTATTTTTTTGTAAGTGTTTATATGCATGCATTACATACTTACATAGAAAATGTCCTGGAGAGACATATGCCAAAATGTAAAGACTTCATTTTGTACTCTTTGTAAAATGTGAGGAGATGACTGTTGATTTTATTTTATTTTTTATTTACTTATATTGTTCTGAACATTCTAAAATAAACATAATTTTTGTAAAGGGAAAAATATTTAAAAATTAGTGGTTTCGTAAAGAAAAAACAAGTCACTCAAGCTCAGCATTAAGTTGATACATATTTAGAATAGTAAAACTAATTGCTAGCTTTTAAAAATAACAGAAACTGATTTTAAAACATTCTTAAAGAAATATTTTTCTTTTAGGTTTTTCTGTATGAGTGGAGAAGACAGCTATTACCAGGGAAGTCATACAACATTTTTTTAGGATGTCTGAAGATGAAGAAAAAGTGAAATTACGCCGTCTAGAACCAGCTATTCAGAAATTCATTAAGATAGTAATCCCAACAGACCTGGAGAGGTTAAGAAAGCACCAGATAAATATTGAGAAGGTAAGCTATTGCATTTACTACTGCAAGAAATAGTTACATAGTCTGATTTATATTGGTTATTCATTTCAGCTAAATTTAGAGTATTAGATAAGAAGTTTTTTGGTTTTTTTGTTTTGTTTTGTTTTGTTTTTTGAGACAGAGTCTCACTCTGTCTCCAAGCACCAAGCTGGAGTGCAGTGGCGTGACCTCGGCTGACTGCAACCCCCATCTCCCGGGTTCAAGCAATTCTCCTGCCTCAGCCTCCTGAGTACCTGGGACTACAGGCGCACACCACCACGCCCAGCTAATTTTTTTGTATTTTTTATAGAGACGGGGTTTCACCATGTTGGCCAGGATGATTTCGATCTCTTGACCTCGTGATCCGCCTGCCTTGGCCTCCCAAAGTGCTGGGATTACAGGCATGAGCCTCAGTGCCCAGCCTAGATAAGAAGTTTTGCTGAGACACCTGGCTCCTACTGATTTAGTAACATTATGCATTTTTTAGCTGTTTTTTCTGTTCTACATATACACCTCACATATATTCCTTTGTTCTAGGAAGGGATATAGGAATAGATTCTATACTTTTTTGTTTGTTTGTTTAAGAGACAAGGTATTGCTCTCTTGCCCAGGCTGGAGTGCAGTGGCATGATCATAGCCCACTGCAGCCTCAAACTTCTGGGTTCAGGCTATCCACACACCACCATGCCTGGCTAACTTATTTTTATTTTTTGGAGAGACAGGTTCTGGCTTTGTTGCCCAGGCTGGTCTTGAACTCCTGGCCTCAAGCTGTCCTCCTGTTTTGGCCTCCCAAAGTGTTGGGATTACAGGTGTGAGCCATTGCCCCTGGCCAAGTCTATACCTTTTTAATTGTACATATTGAGGTTTTAGGTAGTTAGTAATGAAGATACAAACTGATTGACAATGCACTATAATGTAAAGGCAGAGAACTTTGGCTGATGTACCTGCCTTAATTTCTTTCACCCCGTCGCAAGTTTTTGAACTTTGAGTATGTGTCTTTCAGTAACTCGTATCCTCTTTAGGTGTACATATATTAAAGAAGTAAATCATTGTGAGATATGAGAGAATTCCCTTACTTCACTGCTTCCCTTTGAGGAAAGCTCACAATTGAGAAATACTGCTTAGGTCAGCTGAGGTAGAGGGAAGATGAATTCGTCTCAGAGACTGTAGTGGAGGTTGCACAGAACCTGCCCTGGTCGGTAAAGTGGTTGTGGCATTTTTTGAAATAGCAAGTTTACTGAGTACTGAGAATTAATTGGCAGATTACGTTGTCTTATTTGTTACGGGACAGGTCAGTGATGTTTTTGCTTGAAAAAGACCTTTCCGAGAATAAGTCTTAAGCTGCAGAACCTCCATTTATTTATTTTTTCTTTTGAAGGTTGGGAGCAGAGGATATGGTCATTAAGCCTTTCAATATAAATATTATTCATTACTCAACTCAGTAGCTTATAGAAGTCAGAAGAGTGTACCTTTTTTTTCCATAGATACCATCTGTCTTCCTAGAATTAAAGTCCTTTTAAAAGTGGAGAAAATCAGTTCTGAGAATATTAAAATGAAAATTTTAATCCAAATATGTAAGTCTTTCTAGAATTCAGAATTAGTATTTTGTCATCACTGGATTTCTTTCTTCATTACTTATAAGCAATAAGTAATTCTGTGACTTCTAAGGATGGATAAGGAGTTATTTAATAAATGGTTTCTTTTAAACATGAACAGAAGCAAATTAAGGCCATTTCTTACCTTTATTGTCCTACTTTTCCTTTGAGATTTTGCATATCTGTCTTGGATTTTCCTTTTCTTATGTTTATTATATGAAAAAAGTGCCCACTGTCAGTACCCACAGATCCTTGCTACATGTACCACCCAATCAGTCATCAATGGAAAAGCCAGGTGGGTGGGGATACAATGGTTATATTACTGATTTGATTAGTTGTGCCATATGTCATAAGAAAATTATTTCAGAATTATTTCCATCCACCTCTGCCAGGCATTTTTTCTTTAACATTTTATGAAATTGTTACTTACTGTGGAATTTTTAGGCAGTATCAGAATAATTATAATTTAGGTGATATCATCTGAAACCAAACAGTTAAATTTATACTGACCTATGTTTTATTCCATATCCTTGATCATTTCACTGTCTCTAGGATGTCTAGTTTAATTATGAAAGTGACTTTTTATCTATACAGAATTGAAGAGCTTATTTTAATAGATACGTTACAGCAATGTAAAAACATTTAAAAGCTGCAGGGCTCACTCTGGACAAAAGAGTTAAGAACTAAGTTTGGACTCCAGGTGTCTGACAGTGCCTCACTTTCAAAAAGGCATGTTATTCTTGTGGAAAAGGTGTAGAAAGATAAAATATTTATTATGCTGGACATCAGTCATCCAATATGAATTTAAAAGAAGAAAGTCAGACTGAAGGGAAATTGAAGGTACGCCTTAGTGGAGTGATTCTGCAACATCTGAAAACAATGAGAGTAGTGTGCTGTGGACACCTGGAGCTGTATTCCATAGGTCCTTCATTTTATTACACATGATAAACTTGATTAGAATGTAATCCTGAAATTTGAAGTGTTAGTATTCAGCTTTCTTGGCTAATGTGAGATAGACTTAAGGACTGTTAATAGGAATGACAAGATAGTAAGCCTGGAACATAATTTTCTTTGTTTTTTATTGTAGGGATTTGGAGGAAAACTTACTGTGTAGCACATACTGTATTAGTTATATGGATAAGGTTCAAGAGGCAGAAAACTCAAAAATCATATATTAAATAAGACAGAGGTTTTTTTGTTTTTGTTTTGCTTTTATTTTTAATCTCATAGCTGCTCAGCCATCATCAAAGACCCAGGCTCTTTTTATCTTGCTCTCCCATCCTCAACTTGGTTCTACCTTGTGTTTACTATGGCTACTCCAGCACCAGCCATTACATCCACATACCAGCTGGATGGAATAACCAGAATCGTACCTTTTCTAGGTTATTTTTTATCTCAGTGCATTTGTTGTGTTTCTCTCTCTTTATTTTAAATGGAGACACAGTCTCACTCTGTTGCCCAGGCTGGAGTGCAGCGGTGCAATCATAGCTCACAGTAATGTTATACTCCTAAGCTGAAGCAATCATCCCGTCTCAGCTTCCTGAATAGCTAAGACTTCAGATGTGTTCTACCGTGTCCAGCTAATTTTTAAATATTTTTGTAGAGATGGGGTTTCATTATGCTGCCCAGGCCCATCTCATCTCAAAGCCCTGGCCTCAAGTGATTCTCCTGCATTGGCCTCTCAAAGTGCTAGGATTATAGACATGAACAACCATGCCTGGCCTCTCTTTTTAAAGAGGATTCGATTTTCATTTCATGGATGCAGTATCATAACATCTTTCTATGTTTTTTTTTTTTTTTAAGTTTTCTTCTGCCTCTTTGTCCTGTTTTTCCCAAGTCCCTTTCTTTCTTCTCTCTCACTTTCTTCTGTTTCAGCATATAGTATTACAGGCTTTTCTTGACTGACTGATTGGAAGGTATGTGTGTAAATGTGTTTGTGTGTGTGTATGTGGGTAGCAGGTTAGATCAGGGGCTTTGCTCTCTGGAGGAGTAATAAGTGAAAATCTATTTTAATGGGAGAACCACTAGATATCAGTAACTCTAGGTCTCGTTAGCTGTTCAGTTTTAAGAAAGAGTGATCCTCCATCTCCTACCTGTTGGGGTATGTTTATTTTTTCAGAGGTGATAGTTGTGGCAGGGGTTGGGGTGGGGAGATTGGAGGGGTGGATATATTATGAATTTTGTGACCAGCCTGTTAAGCCAGGGAAAGGAAAGTAGGGGAGAAGGCGAGCACCATTCAGATATGCATTGTCCAGGCTTAATCTTCCTAGTTGTGGTATGGTAACTGATTCCTGCCCTTCGCTGTGCTTGATGTCTAGGATCCTTAGCTTCTCTAGCCTCTCTAGAGGGTGTCTTCTATAACATTGTCTTGTGCAGTGATGGAACAGGGTAGTTGCTTGGGAAAGTATAGAGGAGATCTGGTGGACTACCTGTTCATTACATAAATTTTCAACCAATCCTTCTGTTTTTTGCCCCACCATACACTTCCATCTGGTTACTTGGTAGCTGGTACCTTCAGTTGCTTAGTCCTTCTGAGTAGTGTTCTGTCTGTGGCTTGTTTCTCATTACCACTCTCCCCCGCCATACACCCCTTCTGTAGGCTTACATTTTAGCTTTTTTTGGTTTGCTGAGTCAGTTACAACATATCCGTATTCTTTCCAGCTTCTAAAATGTTGGGTTTTTTTTGTTGTTGTTAGTTGATGTCTTCTATTCTGTTCTCATTATTCTTGTGAATTTATACTTTCTAAAGTTCTTTGTTGTCATTTAGTGGGGTTTTGGAAAAGAGCAGAGATGAATATTTGTGTTCAATCTGCCAGGTTTAATGAGAAGGGAGATAATTTATCATAGGAAATAAATGTTAGCTTTTTATAAGTATTTATTGATGTTTGCTATTTCTTAGATTGCTAGCATTGAAGAATATGTAAAAGGTAGATTTTTAATTTTCAGTAAGTTTGCAGTCTAGTTAAGGAATTAAGATAGGAAATAGTCAAAGAATGATAAGAGGCAGCATGTAATTAGGTATGAAAATGGATGGTATGATCTATTCAACCAACATGAAATATGAACTATGTAGTATAAAATCAGACATCATCACTCTTATTTATTGTTAATCTGTGATTATAATGCAAGTATTTTCCATTTCTCTTTTTAGTGTGTGAATATCTGCTTTGATCTTTTAATCACCTTTCCCAGCCTCATTCCTTTTTTCTGACAGAACCCCATTCAGTTTCCTTCCTTTGTGTTTCAAGATAGGCAAGCCTCAGCACAGGTGGTGAATGATAATGGTCTGATGAACGTGGTAATTCCTATCTTTTCAATGTTTGGTTACCAGTGAACAATAGACGTATCCTGTAGTTCTGGCCAGTTATACCTGAGGGAAAACCTGTTTGGGATATGGAAACTGGAAAG